TCATTCTAAGGCAGTAGTTCCCAACATTGGGGTTGCCAAAGCTTCGTGGGGGGTTGCAAGGTCTTCTTGATTTTAACTAAGCATAGTTATGAATATTATATTTTCCTCAGAGAAATGAATGAAAGGCTTAGATTTAAGCCTACTGCTTATGTTTTTAAAGGTTTTCTTACATCCCATAATATACAATACAATACAACCCCCCCATGAAGCTTTTTTACAACCCATAGTGGGGGTCGGGACACCCAGGTTGGCAACCAGCGGTTAAGAGAACAAGCCCAGGAAAGTTTTTTACCAATTGAAAAGTACCTTAATGTACTGCCCTTTACTCTAAGGGGGATGAAAACATGAACAGAAATTAGATAAAAGTTGCATTATAGGGAAATTGGGTCTTTGCAGCAGCAAATAATAACATGAATAAGAATAGAGTTAACATTATAGAAACACTAAAGTAAGCCCTCTGTATATTGAGTAGAAATGTATAAATGAAAATGTGCAGAAATGTCAGGCTTTAACAGTGCTTGCAGTAAGTTCCATTTTGTGTCTTTGCTTTTATGTCTATATGTTAAAGAATTGTAGCATAAATGAGATAATAGAAGATGCATTCTACAGTCACAGATGATGTAGAGGCCAAGAGCCATCTAACATGAATGCCATTAAATTCATGAATTTGTTTGTGTAACTGAAGCATCCTATGTCTTACTTATGATCTTCCTTTTCCCTGAACCAATCACGCAGGCAGAATTGCATTTGCAAATTATTGTAGCAAAGCCAGGCAGTGAAGGCTGGCCCGTGTGATGATGTGACATTTTTTGGCATCTTTACCAAAGAAATCTAGAGAACAAGATTTGTAGGCCAGAGCACCTCCACAGAACTACAGCACCTAATTATAATGTTTGTCACACATTTTACCTTGATCAAACAATTGCAGCTTCTGTGATTTGAATATTGCACTTGGTAATATTGCGACATGGATAATATTTCACACCATGTGTGTTTTCACTAATCTGTGCAATTATTTTCTGTGCAATGATCTATTAAATTTATCTGTATATATGAGTGTTGTGTATAGTGATTATACTGCACTTTTGAAGTAGCACTTGGCACAAGGCATGTTTATTACATACATATGACATACATCAACAGTTTACAGTGTAATGAAATAAGAAATATAAACTCTGATTTAATGTGTCAGGAATCGGCTAGTGAGTGTCAGCATTACTGTTGGTAGGGTTAGTGTTAGGGTTGGTTTTACATTTCCTCTTTCCTTTCTTTTACAGCTATCCTTTAAACCCACAGGCTATATCAACTTTGCTGTAGCCTTTCATAAGTTCTCTTTTCCTCCAAAAAGCTAATTTGGTGTAGGTTCCCGCAAGCATTTAGCCTGGCTTTGCTACAATAATTTGCAAATGCAATTCTGCCAGAGCAAATGAAACATCATGAGCTCTGCAGATTGGTCTGGTTCCCAGGATATTCTCAGGACAGGAAGAATCTACATTTCGTGATTGGTTCAGGGAAAAGGAAGATCACAAGTAAGACATAGGATGCTTCAGTTACACAAACAAATTCATCGTATTGCCTCTGCAAGCAAGAAGGGTTGTTTATTTTGGATGATAGCTAGTATGATTAAAAATGAAGGAACAGGCTACGCTAACAAGTGTCTTTTTTACTGGGGCTGCTGAAAAAAGGCCCACTGAAGATGAAGACAATGAAGAGGGCAGAAAGAAAACAAAGTACAACATATATAAAAATATGACATCAGCTACCTGAAATTGGAATTCGTCGCTACTGTGGATGCTAATGCTCCAAAGGCCCAGTGTGTGGCATGTGAGGGGATGCTATCAAACGAGTCTACAAAGTAAACAAAGTTAATTTGACACTTAGATGCAAAACACTGCTCTGAAGTACTAGCCAGGAGATTATTTTGGAAAGAGACGAGCTGAACAAGATAATGTCCAGTATTCAGACCAAATCAGGCCGGGTGGTGCGGTTTGTGTTGTGTTAATTTGTAATTTAGGACATAACCGCAGTGAAACAGATATACATATATCACTACCGGCACTATCCCTCTCATTCCCTGCCTTTGTAGACTAAAATCCAGACACAGACTTCAAAGCTGGGTACATGAAATAAACACAACTGGGAGATATCATAGTTTGGTCCATCCAGGGTGACATTGAACACGATTTGTAAAGCGTCTTGTAGACTCGCCGTTGCGCGACAATGTGACGTCACTGGAGCGCCGTAACTATTTATACTTGCGCTGGT